ACTTCGCATTACAAGCATTGGTATTGTACTGATTCATTAATAATTCATTGTAATTGATATCGATGTCGGTAATCAATTAGTCATTACATCCGCTGGCCTATTAAATTATATGCTAAATAAAATACTTTAATTCTATAACAATACGATAAGTAACATACTAAGTGCATTCATATAAATGTCTTAATGCAAGGCTCATATAAAGAGAAAGACTTTATATTGGTAGGTAAATCAATGGATTGGTGATATTACTAGCTAGACAAGATTCTTTCTAATTATGTATCCTACCAGGTCAATCTCCTCTGAAAACCATCGTGGTAAATCCATGGTTAAACCCTGCACAAGTTATTATTGTCCAAATGTCAGGTGACAATAACTCTACAATTATAAACCCTACTTTCCTCCCCCGTTAAACTCCAGTAAATCATTAACTTCTTCAGTCTGCTGTCCACAGTAATATCATGTATGGGATAGATCTAATAACTGTATAAACAAAGCATGGTTTTTTCCAAAAGTACATAAAAACTAACTTGTGAATTGTACTCCAGACCTCCCTCAAATTGAATGATCCTTGACATTAGATGTACGAGCATTTTTTATAACTACATAATTAATTAATAGTCGCTTAGCAATAACTTGTGTTTATAAAAGCACTAGCTACTCGCCCCGGCTTCGCCCAGGTGTACATGTATTATACATATATACATTCCTCTAGAATAACTCTATCTATTAAAAAAAAACTGCTTCAAAATCGGTTGCGTAGTTTTAAAGATTTAAGAATACATAGGGACGGACAGCCAGCGACAGCGAGTTCGTTTTATACTATGTAATGATGATACTACGGTAACCCATACTCGCAAGTTCTAAAAAATGGTGTAAAATATTCAAATTCAAATTAACTAAAAACTTTTTGCTCATCCGACTCTTCAGACTTCAATCCTTTCCCTAAGCCAATTCGATTGAATCGTTCACAAATCTGTATAACAACACTTGAACTACAATGATGATCACATCACACACATCACACAGATATTCATCTTAATCTTCTAATAGCAATATGCTTTGAATACTAAATTCAAATAATTATTAACAATTAGTAATTATTTCTTTCATATATAGACCTATTGTTAAATCTAATCTGAATACTTTCACGCGCAAAGAAAATACATCTTTTTTATTATACTCATTTCCATTAATGACTACACCAAGACTATAAATAACTGTGCTATATTATAAATAAATAGCATTATTTGTTTCTGAAATAGCACTGTTGAGGTTTTATGTATAATTCTTTTTTCTATGTCATTTTTTTGAAAAGTTATATTTATAAATTTTGCAATAAATATATTTTCTGTTCAGTTATTATATTAGTTTTTTTCCTTTCCGAAAAACGAGCCATCCACAAGCACTATGACAGACTGGCAGACGGCGGACGTCAGAGAAAGTCGCACCAAGAGTTCCCTTTTACCTTTTTTTATTTGAAGCATAAAAATAGTGCGACAATAGAGAAAATTAAGAACTGTATTATTTACGTATACTAATTATTTATTATACTTATACATAAATGCCTTTTTAATGGAATTTTACTTAACTTAGTTAGGACCACTAGGACGGTTTCATTTGGTATACGATAAATGTATAGTCGTATACCAAATAAAACCGTGAAGAGCACTAGAATATTCCTCGATCATGATGGTTGAATTGTAAACATCAGATAGTATTAATAAGAACATTTTTATTTGTTTTCATCTATGTTAATAGACCTTGGTGGTATAGCGATGATCTAGCATACCACGGTCGTGGGTCTGATTTCTCTATACAAACATGTGTATTAATGAGTATGACTATTTATATCGATTTCGGTGTTTTTTTATGAATACATATTACATATTTTACAAGAAATTAATTTAAGTATTTTTACTAGTCGTTCAGTACCTATAGTACGGATATTACTTTGTTTGTGAGTGGATTGCGCTGTGTAATTTTTCCTAGGTCTTACCTCTTTTGTGTATTTAATATTATATATGTGTTTAAAAAAATGTGACTTAGTTGTCCTGGTATATTTATTTATCGATTCATGTAATGCATCTTGAATATTCTGTATAATGTAGTCATTCTATTAATGTGTAATGATGATGATGACTTACCTATATTGTAATAAATTGTTTAACGAAAATACAAATACTTCACAGAAATATTACTGAATTCTATTGTATTGACAATCATTTGTAGCGAATTTACTGACCGGCTCATATCATTTATGAGAACTCACTCCCATGTAAGATGGGATGGGGGAGTAAGTTCTCATGAACCCATCATTCTTCATCTTCTGTTCATAGTTACGATGCTGGGCTGAAAGATATAAAGACTGACATTCGGGGCGCAATCCCTTTCTCGTAATATTATTGTAAATATATTTTTCAAAAAAATGTTTGTACATACAAACATTTTTTTACCATTTTAGACCAATGTCTTCATTTTCCTGCTGCTGCTGCTACGTACAAATACAATCTACATTCTAGTGGTACTATCATAGCAGATAAATATTTATTTGTTTCAACAGTAAGTGTACAGAGCAATTTTCTTTTATGGTTTTGAATGACAAACAAACTGACGATCCACCTGATGCTAAGCGGTAAAGGTTGCCTTAACTTTATAAATAAAGTATTCGTTGCCATGCCAGAGTAATAAGTTGTCGGGCTCCTTATCTAATAATTGCAAAGTCAATCTTTATATAAAATAATTCATGTACATGCAAAAAGTACCTACTTTACACTTCGCCGTATTTTAAAAATTGCCCTAAAATGTTATATCCCTTGGCATAATATCATGTTACAAATATTTATCATACCTACTCATTTATCTGTATTATAGTTATATTTAGTTTACTAAACTCTTAAATTTTGCTAACAATTGTTTAATATTTATTTAAATTGAGTGCTGTTGTAAAATATCTGATTACTCGAATATTTTAATGGTTGATATATTTTACTTAGGTATACAAATACTATATTGATTTAAATAATGTAGGTACCTTATAGGTAACAATAAGGTATCTAACAATTTAATTGAAAAAAAAAAGCGAAAGTTTGTGAAAATGGATAGATGGATGTATGTATGTTTCCGAGGAAGGACTAACATAAACACTATACGAATTCGAATAAAATTTGTTATGTAAAATTATTGATAGAACTTAGTCATGCACCGTAAGATTCAAACGATATTTAGTGCAAGCAGATAGCACTCCAAATTCCGCGGATGGACTTATGGAGCGGCAGAAGGACAGCACCTGAATGTCGGATACGACTTTAGTCCGAGAGTTTCGGTACTAAATTAACCACAAAAGCAAATGCCGAAGTCATCTTTTTATCTATTTTTCTATAATAATTTGTTATTTTAATTTATAAAATAACAAATTATTATAGAAAAATCTTTTTTAAAATTCCACCAAAAAGGTTGGGAAACATTCAACAATATATGTTATATTTTTTTATTTTACCCATTCAAATGTTTTTTTTTTATTTTTGACTAATTCGATACAATAGACACTAACCACAGATCAGAGGATATTATGCACATATCTTGGCAAAAATACGACATAGAAAGAAATAAACTCTCTATATGAGTAATAAATTATCAATAAAATTATAATTTTAAATAAGTTCCATAAGTAATAATGAACATGAATACTACTGATTATTTTGAAACTTTCGTGTTGATACCCGATTAACTCTACTTATTGAACTAAGAACTATCTGTTTTCCTGATCGATCATTTCTTTTACCCCCAATAAAATCAGCAGCTCGAAATACTCTGTTTTTTTAATCCCGGAGACAAATTTGACATTACGTAAACCACAAAAATGTATTTTTGTGTTGTATAATGATAGTAATGAAAACACTAGTACGTGAATTTTGATAATATGTTATGGAAACTAATTGCTTTAAAACCAATATGCTAAAATATAAACTTAGAATTAAACAAATCGGTATTGCAGGTACAGCACTACCCCAGTAAGTCCCAGTACAGGTGAGTAACATTATATTAAAATTTTTCATTTACACCTGTCAGTTTAGTCTCCGAGATTAAATAAATCCTAGGGTAAATATACAAACGCCGTAAACTATTTAATACTAGCTCTACCCGCGGTTTCACCAGCATGAAATTTATAGCCTATATGTTATTCTGATGTATAAGCTATATTACTGTAAAGTTTCATCAAAATCCATTCAGTAGATTTTGCGTGAAAGAGTAACAAATATTCATCCATACTCACAAACTTTCGCGTTTATATTATTAATAAGATATTGGTAACTAAATATTAAATCATTCAGTAGATTATCTGTGCATACAACGACCAAGTGTCACGAGATAGCGAAATCTCAACTCGTTTACCAGTAGGTACATATTAATACCCTTGAATAGAAGTGTATTTAAATCCGCCATTTTGTAGCCACCGCCACTATATTCGACCTAATATTTAATTACATTTTTGATTAATAAAGTATATTGGTTTAATATATTCAGAGATTACGGTATGAATATAAAATCAGGATGTTGGGTTAGGAATTCTTACTGTATGAAGCGACAGGTTAATAAAAATGTTACCATGTCATATACATTTCATTTCCGTACAACACCTTCTTCCAATATACGTAGGTAAAAACTTAAGATAGAACTATCCATTTTCTTTCTTTTATACGTGTGCGGTATGCGCTAAATATAGAGTATGCGTGTTGTGGGCGCCCAGTGTTGGTGCGTCGTTCTATTACGTGTCTCGTTAGTCAGACTATTAATTTGTGTATGTCTGCGTCAGAGTCATTACAAGGCTATGCGTAACTACACTTGTTTTAGGAAAAACAACGCTTGTGTAACGCCTCCGAGTGAAATATATCCTATATATTATTCAGACAGAAAGCATCTAGACAGCTATCTTATCTGATAATAATTTAAGCGAAGGATAAAAGAAAATGCCGATATTTTTAAACAAATCAATATTATTTCCAATAAATTTATCAGTACATCCACATTGAATGTTATAGTAATTTTACTTTACAAAATACAACATAAAGTCTTCGACAGCTTGAAACTAAATATTAATACGATCTATTTACAGTAAGGTGGTTTAAACACAAAATAAAACATTGAATATAACAAAAATCAGTGCAACAATAAAATAATAAATATTTATAGATAGTGGACTTCAACGTGGTAAAGTTATAGTAATTCTACAAATATAATAAATTGTTAGTTATACAAGTTTGTTACAAAATTACCTATTGGGCATTAAATCACAGAGCTAAGCGATCAAGTTCAGACCGATACACACAACGCTCGCAGAAGACCACAAGACGAGACGGGAGGAGTCGCGCACCTCGCTAAACTAACGCATCCGATGTTCCGGCCTTTAACTACAGAGCTCAGCTTTTTGTCTAATCCCTCATTATTTATTATATGAGATATCCACATCCCATTACAATACAAAAACAAAACAACTGATTCGAGGCAATTTGTGAGTGGCACTTATGAACAACAAAACCATATCAAAAACCTTTATACGCAAAACCTCTAAACTAACCTCTGAGTACCGCTACGACAACTCAAAATTATAACGCTATATCAATCAAAAACATCAGAGCTGCACATTAAATGCGTACACAATAATATCGAAGGTCATCTAGGCTGGCTAATTGTAAATAAGAAAAAAAGAAAATGAACAAATTATCGATCATTGTTCAAAAAGTTTAACGTCGATTCTAAAAGACTAGAAAAATGCAAACGATTCGAAGAAAAACTGACAAGTTGTCGACGATCAAATGCCCACACATGAAAATCTGTACAATTGATATGTGTAGTCCGGGAAGCAATGCAAAAGCTTTCTGCGGCTCGCGAACAGCGCCATAACCTCAAACGAGTGAACACACTGAAATATCATCAATATCTAAATATTCAACAAGAGAATTGGGCTGAGTCTCTAACTCGTTCAGTTAAGAATTTCGATAGACCTCGTACAACAATAATTATCATAACTTAGGACAGTCGTTAGGCCTTAATATATAAAATTTACAGTTATTTATTATGGCAGATATCAACAATCAATTTAAATCTATCAAATATGATACTGACACTTTTTACAGAAACAATACTAGGGATATATACATGCTATAACAACGTTCACCGTCCCCGCGGCGTCGCGCCGCCACTTCCAACAATAAATGGCACTTTCGTTTCAAGCTCAATCTAGTATTATAACAATTTTCCATGTCCTCGATTCGCACCAGCCGCCGAATACAATCTATCACCGGACCGAGATCGTTCAATATATCGACGTCCGATCTATCATTATAACTATATAGGTACTAAATTACACTAATATTGAAACGCCCGAACCCTCGCCCGACAATTAAGCGCGCATATAATATTCGAATCGTTAAGGTACTGGCAGCGGGGCGGCTGGTACGAGTCGGTTCTGCCGAGATTACAAAATCGCTCGGGTATATTGGAAGAAGTCACGACTTATATAAGTTACAATATGTATAGTCGAAGAGAGTGAGCAATGAATCGGAACCGACGGCGCGTCCGAGGGAGGCGGCGGCTACGCATATCCGGGTGGGTCCCAGGTGGCCGTCCATCAGGAGATGTGCGGCAGCAGCAGGTAGTACAGTACTGCGGCGAGGAGTGGCACGCACAGTGCAGCCAGCTGCGACGCGGAGACGCGCGGCGGCGGCTTGCGTTGTAGTTGCGCAAGTTGTTCTGCGAGCCGCGCGCGCTCACCGCACACTTCCGCCCATCGCTCCTTCGCGCGGACTAACTCCTCCTCGAGGGCGTGCAACGACCCGTTTTGCAACGTCACTTGTAACCGCTGTTCGTCGTCAAGACGAATGAACTCGCTTGTCGCGCGCTCGCTCACTCCGCTCTCGTCTCTGTTGATCTCCGTGGACGCCGAATCGGTGTCGTCGTCGTCCTCGTCATCGAGCCGAAACATTTCGTCGATCTCGGCCGAGATCTGTCCCGCGTCCATTTTCTCTTCACTATCTTCGAGTTTTTGTAAGTCCTCGATTGACGGTGTGGTCTCGATCGCTCTGTCCGTGGTTTTCTTCTCTATGTCGATTACGGCCCGTTGTCGTTCGAGTAGCTGGTCCTTAGCCAGGAGATCGGCGCGCAATCTATCGACGACAGCGGTGAGGTCGTCGACTTCGGCGCGCGTCGGTCGGAACGCGAGTTGTGCCTGCATTTCTGCCGCGTTGGACGCCAACCGTTGAATCTCAGCGAGATTCGCTTCCTCCGCGACAGTCGAACGGGTCAATTGTGCCTGTAATGTGAATATTTGCTGAAAAAATGTTTCTTTATTGTGTGCCGTCGATCTGTAAAAAATGCCTACATCAGTGAAAAAAATAATTCTACGAATCAAATATATGTTATTTTTTTACATAGGAATAGTGATCCATTCATCAAAAGTTGTCATTTACCATCAGATGGACCACCAATTTCTATGTGATAGTCAATAGTGTAAAAAAGTTATATTTACGATGTGTAGTATAGTGTACGAAAACAAGACAGTGTATAATGTGCATTATATTGTCCAATAATAGTTGATTATCGTCAGTTGTCAGCCTATTCTATTTTCATAATGTGGTGACTACTGTATTTTTTATATATTAAATTTTCTATGCAGTGTGCAATCATATAATAAATATTCACTACCATATTTCACGCTACAACAATCAAAAGTACATTAATAAAGAAATCGTCACCTTTTTACATAAAATACTCTTATTATTTTATGTAAAAAGGTGATGTTCTATTTTAATAAATTAAAACTTTCTTTACTGGCTGTAAGTAAATGTTGAACATGCTCTTTATAAAGAAATAGCAAATACAATGTCTCCGTCAACTACTTTATATATGTACAACTATCATGGAAATAACAATCAATACACTACCTACAATAATATGTATATGAAATAGATAGGCATGGCAAGTGATGCGCGCGTACGTCGACGACGTCGAGTCGACCCGGCAAGCGACAGGATCATTCCCACTATTTTATTATTTAAGCCGGCTACCTAAAAGTAGCCGGCTCGCCGATTAAAAAACCGAAATGAAACTACACTGGGGTGGTTCACTAGAGCGGAATACCCGGGCATAGAGCTAAAGCTCGAGTCTCGAACCCGGCGGCCCGTAAGGGTCCGACGACTAGACTAGAATGGCAACAGGTGTAGTGGTAAGAGTATGGACCTGCAGGTCGAGGATCTTGGCGCGGGCGGCGGCGGCGTCGTCGCCGGCCGCGGCGGGGTCTGCGGCCGCGAGGAGCTCGTCGCGCACGGCCCGCAGCTGCTCGAGCTCGGCGAGCGCGCCGCCGAGCCGCGAGCGCAGCACCTTGATCTCCTCGTTGAGCCCGCTCATCACGCGCAGCACGTTCGCGTACTCCACGTTCGCTTTGTGCTGCCAAATACCGTGCCAATATTATACTTGCAACAGTAATAATAATCTATTTGCTTTCTCCACGAGAACATTAACATAATATAATGCACTGTTACATTTAAGCTTGTGAAATTTCCTGCTACATGCGTAGAAATGTTGTCTACATTTAATAAAACCACTTACCCCGGTATCTTTGTTGAGTGTCTCACTGAATGTGGAGTTAGCATTATTATCTGATTCTCCATCTACTGGACTCGGACACTCCTCGAGGCCACTTTCTGGATGATTGAAACATAACAAAATATCTGGTATATTTTGAAATTAATAGCAAAATCACTTATCTAAACACTAGAAGAATTTATAGGAATGTCCCAAAATCAATAAAAATATATATTTAGGGCACTTTAAATAACTGTAAAGAAAAAATAACTATAACGTATTCTGCCCAAAAAGTTATCTGAAATAGATACTTTATTGAAACTTACTACTATTTTTATAATAATACTTTTAATGTGTCCTATCAAATACTAATTAATAAATTATTACACAACGATTGGAACCATACCATGATTCAGGAGAGGCTGTTTCTCCTCGTCAGCTCCAGAATCGGGATCCCCTGATTTTTCTTCGCCGCTGCCACTGCCACTCTCCTCCGTGGTTTCTGTAAATGGGTAAAAAAATATTTTAACAAACAATAATATTCAAATATTTATCTAAAATGTATTTTATATATAGTATAAATATACAATTCAATTGAAAATTATATGTATTCATGTTTGTATACAAGTCACTTACTCAAATGATGACACAATTGATAGTTTACTGATATGTTGGTACTATATTGATTTCAATAAAATAAAAAGCAACTTCATTTTATACTATGTAATAAACAGTTAGATTTCTTTATTACATAGTATAAAATGAAGTTGACTTTTATTTTATTGACTTAAAATTATAAACAAAGATAATTCTAATTAAATATTATGGAATATTAATAAGATCGTAATAGTCACAGACAGCAGTTGGGTGCTTAAAATATTAATATAATGTAACTTTTCATTGCGGCAACATTTATAATAGTTTTCTTAATCTTAATATTCATACAATGGTGAAAATCAATTATAATATATCACTAACAAAGACATTTTAATGATTACTTAATTGCGTACCTTTTAAATCTGAATTATTATAAACGTTATTTTTCTTTAATATCAATTCGAATTCTTTGGCAGATTTTCCTTGCGCCGATACCGCCTTTATGCCAGCCTGGAAAGGAAAAAAATACAACTGTTTATTACAACAGCAAGAAACAATGATTAATATCTCAAGTGATTAAACAATGTATAAGCCAGCAACAAAGTGCTACGGTGTATAAAATATATGTTTTACCTAAATACATATTTATATCAACATACTATATCTATACTATATATAGATTTCCTATCCACTAAATAAGTAAATATTACAACCTCTTTACACGAACAATAATAGGATTTCTGTTTAGTTCAAACCTATAGAAATACTTCTCTTAGATCAGCTTTAATATTAACGAGATAGTACATTTTTATATGTGGATTACCCAATATCAGAATCATATTGTTAAGCGGCGGTTTTACTCCCCTGGACTACGGTGACAAGCGTCATATATCAGTAATTACGCTAACTATAATTGTTATTTTATAAAAAAAAGAATAGCTATGACAATAAATAGTCTTGATTAACAAAGACCATATCATCAGAAAATATTAATATGCATAATATAGGTGGGTACACACATAAAAAATGTGTAGGAAATTTGTTTCTCCTTCGTCTAATGTATAATAGTCTGCCTTTTTCCATAAAATATCATATAAATGGTAAATGGAAAACTGTATTTGTATCTTTTGATGTAGATAGTGTATATTTTTATAATCTAGTCTTACCTAGCGTTAAATACATTAGTATTATTTTAATTTTAGGCATACAAAGTGTTATATGAAATAGTTCTGTACCAAATTGCAAGCTTCTAGAAAAATACTCGTAGTCTGTTTTGTATGGTAATAAATAAATAAATATCTTACCATATTGAGTAAGTGCTGAGGCAGTAGTAGCTTGATATAGTCGGGCAACGCTCTCACGGCGTCGTCGAGCGTGCCGTCGCATTCGGCCTCCTGCAGTTTGTTGCTGTCTGTACTCAAGACCAACATTTTCGCTTCGCCGTTTTGTATCGAATACTGAAAATTTTGAGAAACAAATCGTATAATGAGTATATTTGCTGAATCGAATATATCAAAAAGTAAAGTTTAATTTTCGTACTAGAATATATTATCCAGTAACTGTAATCAGAGCTATATCTATTTAGAAATCTATTAATTAGCAATTAGAACCAGTAACGTGTGAGTATATTGTATTACATCTTCTTCAATTTTGTTTCTGATTTGTATATAAATTTCATCTATTTACAGTATTATTATTTTCTTGTATGTTTGCTGAAAGTAACGCAAATAAACGATATATTTATATCCATCTCAAGAAGAAGTTTCACATATTTGTATTAACATTTCAGTATAGTCAGCATGGTAGACTTTGTAAAGAGTAGTCTCTGTCTACCATTTCAGCTGCTAAGCAGCTTGATTTGTAAGCTGTGTTTAAGTTTAAAGGGTGAAAAAGGCACTCAAGAAGGGTTTCTAAACAACACTGAACATAAAGTAAATGTTTTATCTTTCTATCTTTTTAACATATAGAATTAGAACTTCGAAAATATTTCTTTTCTATTTTTGAGTCCTATATTAAATTATACCTACATTTTATTTATTTTTATTTATAATATTTTATTGTTTCAAAAACAAAAAGACATACAAAATTATATCCTTTATTTAATTGTTTTATTCAAATCATTCTATTCGAACATACAATAATGTTCTTCTAAAGTCCAATTAACTCTATATCACCATTCAATGTCCTTGGGATATAATTTCTCAATACAAAAATGCATTAAAATTTTATCGTGAAAAGGTATCATGGTATCCTGTTCAGGTTTCCTCAAGAGACCACAGCATGTAGTTAATTACATTTCTTAAGGGTCGGCCACGCGCACGTGACAGCCCTGGCCTTTCATGCGTCCATAGGCTACGACAACCGTTTACCATCAGATGAGTCGTATGCTTGTTTGCCAACATCGTAGCATAAAAAACTAAATCAGTACTTACCGTGAGCGGTAGATGGTTGCGGACGGCCTGCTCCCGTTCCTCAGCGGCGGTGATAGCTAGCCGCGCAGCGCACATTTTACGCTCGCATCGCGCTGCCAGCTTCTGCAAAGTAAATAACACCAAAACTAAAACATACAGTTACTAAAAAGAACTCCTTTGGTGGGATAGCACATTCACACACACCTTCCTTCCTATGTGTGTGAGTCTGCTGTGACCCATACAATCTGGATGCTATGATGTATAAATGATAAACCCGGACTGCTTACCAACTTGATTTAATGAATACACGATGCTTGAGTGTGGCCTGATGCTTTCTTGTGTGTATTTGGGTGTACTGCAGGGAAAATGGTATGACTGGGCTTTATATGGATGCGGAGCGGTGTAAAATGCTGACGGCTGTACGGTGCCGTACCGCACACTATGGGATCAATTCCTCAGACAGTCCAAACTTGTATTCATGAGAATTATTGTTTGCATCGCTCTACGTGTGTTTAACATGCAGATTTACAATCTAAATATTACAAAACAAATACTTTTATATAATGGACATCAAAACTATAGTGTACATTTACAAAAACAACGGCCTTAGTGGTTTAGTACGCAGACTTACTTTTAGTAGTCGCGGATCGATTCTCACACAAAATATTTCTATTTATGCTTTTATTATTATATATATAATTGTTATTATATAATTAACCGTAACACAAGGTCTCCTTAGCTTTGGCCTAGATATTTCTGTGAGAATTATCCAGGGTTATTATTATTCATTCTTTATACAAATTAAATAACCTTCCGAATTTAAAACATTCTCATGTAAATTATTCCGCTTGTTCATGTAGTTCGTCAAATGTAAGTTGTTCGTTTTACAGTTACACATGCATTTGTTATTTATGTGAGTATGTAGATATGAACATGTTTCGGTAATCCAGTCATACCGGATTTCTCATTAAAATTGTCGTTATCATACACATAGAGACGTGACAATTACAGTATAATAAATAATCACTGGAACCAAATACAATGATGAACAAAGGTCGTTTTAAAACAATACAGTTAATAATTGAAAGTAAACATTGCTCTTATGTAATTTACTAGTACCACTGTAGGACTGACAGTGATTTCTATTTATTATTTGCTATAGTTATTATACATCAGTGGTAGTAAATTATAATAAAATAGTTGCAGGCAAATATATACTTAATCATTATTGCATAGTATAAAACAAAGTCGCTGTCGCTGTCTGTCCGTCCCTATGTATGCTTAAATCTTTAAAACTACGCAACGGATTTAGAAGCGATTTTTTTATGGATTTCAAGAGGAGGGTTTATATGTATAATACATGTACAGCAATGCGAAGTTAGCTAGTTATATAACCAACCAATTTTTACCTCTATCAGTCAGTTTAGTTTTGATTATATTTCAAATGGAAAATACAAAAATAGATTTAATTGTCGATAAACTCGACATTAGACACTAGCGGCCTTATTACAAAAAGATAAACCTGGTTTAGCACTAGTAATAAACCATTCACCAATGTATTCCTTATTACAAAATGAAGTTTATCTCTAAATCGTGATTCGTCTATGGTCTAAAGTTAGACCTGCGATGCCCCTAGTTTAACAGTGGTCTAAATGCAAAAATACAAACCCTATTTTAAAAATTCTATTGTTAGTTGTAGTTTTTGAAAAATATTTTAACTAAATTAAAAATATATTAACTAAAAATATTTAAAGCAAATTTTACGATAATAAAAATATATAAAAGACGTTATTTGTTATTTTTTCACTCATTTGACTTTGAAATAGTCACCATTCGAACGATCCAATAAAAATATCTCGCCGTTCCTTTCCTCCGTATAGGACTCCTACTTGTAATTTAAAACTGATTTTCAGCCTAATAGTACATTAATAAATATTATATATTAATGAAATAGTTATAATGAAGACCTAGATAAATAGAAATAAATTTATTTTTAGTTTATACATTTTTCTTTGAACTAATATTATTTTTGATCTTTTCAGTTTTCTGGTAAAATGGAACGTAATTGTACGGTGACAGACATGAGTGACTGATTTCTGTATGGAATACATAATGAACGATTTAACTGTAGTACTAAGTAGTCCTCTGTTAGATCTGGATTCGTAATAATGTTAGGTTTATTCCAAGTATTAACTTTAGGAATGGTTTAAACCACGACCATTTAGACCACGTTTCGTCCGAGTTTTAACAGATTTTTTGTAATAAGACCGTAGAGGTCTACTGCTGTTTTACATAAGCTCAGGTAAATTGTCAAAGATGTTGTTCAATTTGATGAAATGTTACGAATGTAAATGAAATGTTTGTGTCTCATCTTCATTCATAACACCTTAATTTGACGGCCTCGGTGCTCTAATAGTTTAGCACCGCCTTACTTCCAATAGTCACCGGTTCGATTCCTCGCACGACACAAAATATTTATATTCATAACTATGATCGTTTGTATCGGTCTGGATGTTTTCTATGTATAATATGTACAGTGAACCCCCAGTTATCCGACAAACGTTTTGCAAGGCAGTGTCGGACCATCGAATTTGTCGGATTATAGAGTGCTGCCTAAGGGTCCCCTACAGTCCGGATTTTTTTACAAAAGCGTATCTTGTAATCCGACAAATTACAGATCCAGTAATAAGATTCTATGTTATATATGTATGTATGTATATGTACTCTGAAGTATATTGTCAAAAAAATATTCAATAACAAATAATAGACCATGAGGGATTACAAGGGGGCCCGGATTACCGCAGGTCCACTGTATGTTTTTATGAAAAAAGAAATATATCTATGTATTTGTATCAGTTATCCAGTACCCATAACACAAGCTTTAGCTAGCTTAATTCGGGTCTAGATGGCACAGTGTAAATTGTCCTGAGATTATTATACTAAATGACTCCGTAAATTACGACACACGTTGAAAAAGTGGGAGGAGGTCGACAAAGTGTGACATTTGACTATTTTGCATTTGATTTGGCTTTGTTCAATTACTAATGTAGGTCCGCAAGTTGACGTACCTGCAGCTCGGCGAGCGCGTTGTTGGCGGCGAGTCGCAGCGCGCAATTGTGCTGATGCAGCGCGGTGGCCTCGCGGTTGCGTCGCTCAAGCGATTCCTCCAACGCCAGCCGCTGCTCGTGCGCCACGCGGAGACTCTCCTGCGCCACTTCCTGTAAACATTCATCACGTTTTTATGCAATTGGAACGGCAAACAATCTGACGGCCCGTCTAATGGTAAGGGGCAGGCTATTAATAATGAGGATTATTAACATTTATGAGTCCCCAAACAATCAAACAAGTGTCGTCTCCGTCCTTGTAAGTAATTATTGGTCTTATGGATACTGATGCTAATATTATTATAAAATGTATACTGTATTCACCTGATAGTTCCTCTTATCGCTGAGTAACTGCGCGACGTTTTGCGCATCTGGCTGCTTGCCCACCGAGAGCATCGTCTCCAGGGTGTGAACACGCATCAGCAGCCGCTGCTCGCCAACGAACAGCTCCCACGACGCCTGCGCCTCGGAGCGTGTCCGCTCCACGAACTCGCGTAACGTCCGCAATCGACTCTCCAATGACGCCTCGCGTTGTATCGCTTCCTGATTATAAATATGTTTATATTAATTAGAAATGTTTTTTATTCGGTCTCGGTGGTCTAGCGGGTTAGCATACCGCCTTACTTCCGATGGTCGCGGGTCCGATTTCTTTCACGGTACAAACATTTGATGAGTAAGATTGTCTATATTGTTCTGGTTATTTTCTATATGTATTTACAAAAAATAGTATCTATGTATTTATATCAGTTATCTAGCACACAAGCTCTTCTTAGCTTTGGACTAGATAGCGGTGTTTGAGTGTCCTGCAGTATTATAACTATTTACCTATTTTTTATATTACCCTTTTTATACATTAGAATGGCAAACATGCTGAGGTATCCACGAACATAGTACGAACGAAGATGTCTTTTTAGAAATTTGACTTAGGTACATAGTTCAGATAAAATGTTTTTTATTTTGTTTCATTTTCAAACTTACTAATTTAACAAGCATCGTACACGTTAATATTATTACTAACACAGCTTATTACAAAAACTCATGGTAATAACTGAAATAAAATTTGCAATGTTACGTTTACACTTTCGTCCTTATTTTTTTTTAATATTACAATAGAAAAATTGAATATCCGAGAGATTATACAATCTCAAATGATATCGTAATATTAATGGGTAATATTATGATAAAAGGGTACAGATGGATAGTCAGCTAAGAGTGTTACCTAATTAATAAGAAAATTATCTTAATAATATTATAAAAGTTTGTGAGTATGGATGTATTGATGGATATTTGTTACACTTTCACGCAAAAACTACTGGATTTTGATGAAAGTTTACAGTAATATAACTCATATGTACATCAGAATAATACATAGGCTATAAGTTTCATACAGATGAAACCACGGGCACAGCTATTTAACCTAATAGCAATATATTGAAAAATATATTAACACTGACGGTAACAAATGTTGGATTAATTTAGATCAGTGGCGCGTCGCCACGGACAGAATTGGCACCGTTGCTACGACATTTTTTTTACAATAAACTAACAATTCAGTTGAAATTACTAGAATAACATTTATTCTTACTAGTACAATCGAATAATTAATACTAAGAATTCATTTATATAAATCGAATGAATGCAATCCGACGGCCTATATGATGGCAAGTGGCAATCAACGCCTACATACATGAACCGCACCACACATCATTGCTGGCAATACACTATGTAGTGTCGACCGCCAAACTATCCCCCCTCTAAAGACATTCTTGTCTCATTTCTGGAGAATTCACTTATGGGCTAACTAAGTCAACATTATTCTCATCCACTTCCACCAATCCATATCCATCCACACAAATAACTACTCATGCGTTACCATTCCAGCGGAATGGTATTCCGCTGGACTAAGACGTCAGACCTTCAGATCTTCAGATTATATAAAATTCACACATCAAACTGTTTGGAGTCTGAGTGATAAAAGATAGATGATTCTTTATATGGTACAGAAAACAGTTTTCAAAACGATTCAACTTCCAAGTATAATAAATATGTGATATGTCTAATGGGTCAGTGGTGATCAGTTGTGTTCATTCCTAGGATGTTAAAAGACGCAGAAACCAAGGGACCGAAACTACCAGTGCAAGAAAAGGAAATTCCAAAATAAACCCTTATACTACGTCGCCTAATAGCAGTATTCTATAGTAGAACTGAGCATATTTAATTTATAAACAATATACTGAAACAAAAAAATGTGTTTCTAATTGTACAGGCAAGGTTTTCGTAGTAGACTTTAATAATATATTAGCAAAGTTAATGGCAAAAACCGACTACAGAGCCTTGAACCCCTCTGCCGCGTGCCTCGTGCTTCTCAGACTTATTACCAAACAGGAAGCCCTAACTACCAGAAAATGCCAGAATTAGTACATTCAAAAGTTGCAATAAGGGGCTATTCGAATCAACACTCCAATAGACTGTTGCTATTGTAGTAAAAACAATATAACATGCCTTCACTGCAAATTGAATAAACGCATGACAAACTTTGGCCTGTGATTAACAACAATCAACAGATTATGCCTAGGCGAAGAGGAAACGACATTACACATCCTATGTAGCCCACTCATGCCTGTACGAAATATCTCCTTAAGAAAGTACACACTCAATCCTGAGGAGATAAAACCAATCGCTCCAAAGAACATCCTTTTATTGTTGTCCTTGAAAAGTCTAAGTAGCAAACTTTAAAATAGTTTAAACATTATAAACTGTGCAAAATTAATGTACAAACAAAACTAAAGTAAATAATTACACTTGTTACCTGTACAAAACTGTTTAATTGGTAAAGTTCCTTGAGGTGCAGCGGTGTGGTCATGGTGGGATTGAATGAGAGTTTCGCCTCCTTTCCATCGGGGTGATACAACTTGAGGAGGGCCACAACTGGAGGAAACGTGTTCTATAAATTAAAAAGCACCAATTAATTAATACGTATGTAAGCATTATCTGTCATATCACAACAGGTCTTGATAACCAAATTTTTTGTCAATAATTGATATCACTAATCACAATAGATTAAAATAAATTATTTTCTTAATTTTACAAAATGTAAGATGAGGAAATATAAAAATAATAATAACTTTCTTACGAAAATAGCCCATATCTACTAAAACATCAGTGGTAACATCTAAAGAGTTTGTTTTATTTTATATTACTTTGAAGTAACGAACAAAATAAGAGAGACGTGACATGCAACAGGAGTGTAAATTTCATCGTTCAAAAAATAAATAAAAAATGAAGCTATAGTAAATAATTTATTATTAATTTAATCTCTAGATTTATATGTCTAGTAAGTAATTTTTTTTTAATATAATTATAAACAGACACGATTCTGTTTTCATTTGTCTAAATGAATATTCGTACTAAGAAGTATATTTTTAGCAAAGATGTGTGGCTTAAAAATCTTGTAGATATACTAGAAACAAAATAAGAACTTCGTAGTATTTCCATCCAAAAATAGAAAAGATCATCAAAAATATATCACAATAAAAATCAAGGTAGTAATATTACGTTAAAAAGGTGAAGACTGTTCAAGATAAATTGATACACCTACTACTATTTAATTCCTTATTAACAGAATTAATAAAATTAATCTCAGCTTTTAATTTTGAATAAGAATATGACTGATATAGCATATATGTAATTTGTTTTTTTGTAATGTAAGTTTAAAATCTTTTAGGTAAAGGAATAATTGCTGCAAATCATAAACTTAAACTTACTTACCTCAAAATTAATAATTTAATAGAATTATATAATTATTACTTCTATCTAATTGGACATATACCCTTATATACATACAAACAGTTTTCGACATAAAAACATATTAAACAATCAATTTCTGAAAACGTGAATCATAATACAGTAAAAATATACTACGAATACATCGATATCATATTGTACAACCACAAAATTGTATTGATTCAATCATTGAGGTTAAAAATACCATACAAGTACTAATTTAAACGTTTATAACTTCTGACTTTGAATCTTGAAGTTTATTTATCCTTGATTAACATGTATTGAGCATCGTATAAAAATATATTATACTAGCTGACCCCGCAAACGTTGTTTTGCCATATAAATTAAAATCGCTATTAAAAAATTGGGGTTCATGCTAGAAGGGTGAAAATTTAGGGTTGTATGTATTTTTCAATCCTAAATAATAATAAAATGAAAATAAAACATTATGTCGAAATAATAAAAAATATATATTTAGGCTTACCACTTAGGGGTATAAAAAATAGATAGTAGCCGATTCTCAGACCAACTGAATATGCATATAAAATTTCATAAAAATCGATGAAGCCATTTGAAAGGAGTATAGTAACTAACATTGTGACACGAGAATTTTATATATAAGATTTAGCCATTTTTATTATACATTCATAAACTTGAATTATTTTACTGTGAATATTATTTTCCCGAATTCCAATTAATTTATGTACCTGGAATATTCAGTTTACTCGTTAATGATACCAATATTATTAATAATCCATGGAGTTATATGTGTATTATGTATTAAAAATTAATATATTTTTATGTGACTGAAAAGGTTTGCGTTTAAGTTTAAGGCAAGAATTTATAAGTACCAACTATCACCTATACATGAACAGAACCATGAATATCACGTCATCATGTGATACCGGTACCGGTACCACAACTGTGATTTCATTGCCAGATATATGGCATCCTTTATGCCGAAACAAAGCTTAAAACAAGCTGCTTAGAATTTAGATCAGGTGAACCGTGAAACAGTGACGGCTTCGACAAATTTACCTCGATAATAGTAAACAGTATCGTAATTTCCGTAACATTTATGAAATTTACACATCGAAGAATTTTAAGTAAAGAATAATTTTGACTGATTAATAATAGACAAAAATGTTGAAGTATGTGGTCATTTTTCAATGTTTGTAATATTATATTTTTATACACAATCATAAGGTAATGCAGCTAAGAAATTTTTGGCATGTCAATTTTAAACATAAAACACACAGGTAAAATAAAATAAAGTTATGCATAGGGTTCATTAAACTGTGCGGACGTGATGGGAACTGTAATATTACAAATGCAAACGCCATGACAAAATTGACAAATGCAGGCAATATAGACACAAGAATATCAGCGCAGTAGGGTTTGCAATGCAGTAGAATGATTCTTATTATATATCTATATTATAGAATTAAGTGGGGATATATATACTAGGCTAAAACATAGAATGACACACATTTAATCCGGAACATTCCCCAAAAAACAGTTGAAATATCGAAAAATTTTATTCAATTTTCATTCCAAACTAATTGTACAATTACACGACCTAATAGTTGTCAATCCCGGCAAAGGCCGCATAAGATCAAAAAGATATCTTATATGTAAATATATTATAGGACTTATCTAAATATAATAATAATAAATTACATTTAAGTTAGTTTCGCCGTATATACGCGACTGTGTTTAAATATTCCAATTGCTAGAGGTTATAATATTAAATAGGAATTCATCAAATGTTCCTTGAGGAATGTTATTCAGTTTGATAAACACTATTGCTGGTTAACCGATCTATATCACATTTTGCTACTTACTCTGTATACAGTGAGACCATGCTACAATAAACAGGGACTATTAAAAAAACTATTCTATATAAATAAAAACAGAAAAAGCAAAATTTTGAATTTTGAATAATTTTAAAACGTGTAAATTTCGCTGCAGGATTATAGCGTCACTATGTGACGTACAGTAATAATTATATAATTTATTATAATTACTACTTGTATGAACTGAATTTATACCTGCATTTTCAATGTATTAATCCAATTATAGTCCAATTAGCCTCAAGATAAGTTACAAACGAATTCTCTAAATTCTATTGCGACATGTCTAGTCAAGGGCAGGTAGCCACAGAGTAGCCTAATCTAGGTACTTGTTTCTAATTCGTACAACGGACAATGGAAAACGTTTCATAACATACGGGTTTCAGTATAATATCAAATAATTTATATTACTTTACCAAATATTCAGAAGATGGTGGAGGAATGGTGCTTTGAGGCTGCGAGTAAAAATATTCAATTTATATTTTTAAAATATGCAATCTACAAGTAAATATGCCCCTCATCATATCGTTATCAAAGCAAATAATAATATAATTGTGTTTTTAAATTTGTTTCTTTTTAATACTCATTGCAGATTTAATTACATGTGTAAAAAGTACTAACAGATAAGCACCCACGACGAACTATAAACCATTAAACAAAGAACTAATATTACTTATAATATTAGTCATTATACCAACATGAAAAAATAAATACAATATAATGTATATCACTACAATTATACAACATACAAAAGTCTAATTAGAACATTTAATTGACATTATTCGACATGTCTCATGTATTTTATAGACCCCAAAAATACGACTTTAATACTGACGATCTATACTAAAATTGTAGAATACGTTTAATTAAAAAATCTATGGTTTCAGAAATGTTTAACAAAACTGTTGATAAAAACAATAAAATAAACCAAATTCTATTGTTTTATTATAGTTAGTTGTAAACAGACCATATAGCGCATTTGTAGTAAGTATATAGTTCTTATGTGGGTGGCTATCAATCACATAATAAACATCCGTACACAACTTACGCCGTGACATATGAAATATTCCAAACACAATCATTATCTAGGTAGAGTAAAAAGCCTACCTTTTCTGAATTGCTTGCATTCTCAACAACGGGTATGCCGAACTGGACCACGTCACCTGAAAACACTTCATGGGGCTCCTGCTCTTTGGATATAGAGCACCGGTTGTTGTTGATAAACGTGCCGTTGCTGCTCTGATTGTCCTACAAACAAACAAATATATCACTTGGAATGTATAATATGCGATAACAATAACAAACTAGTTACATTCATTGTGATAGAATGCTGAGAAACAAAGGTTCGGAAAGCATTTCTAAAATGTATATCATTAAAAAATTACTAGTCCGAAATTAACAAGAATAGTCAGTAAAGTGTATAAATAACATACATATTTTAACACTCTTTTACATAACTTGAATAGCAATGAAGCTGACGGGCGACCTGATGGTAAATGGTAGCTGTCGCCGATATATTTACTTGAAAAGTACGCGGGTTGCCATTCCAGAATAGAATGGAATAGAAAATTCTTTATTCAAATAAACTTAATTTAAGCACTTTTGAATAGCCATCACAATTGTTTTAATATACCGCTCATTCGGAAAGCTGTCTCATCACAAGAAGAATGAGAAAGAAACTTGCCTGTTGCTCTTTTAAATAATCGTTGTAACTTTACGTTTTTAAACCGAAACGTGTGAATACAAACTGCCAACTAGCACTAATCTTTTAGGATCAAATATTAAATAGACAATAAGTCCAGAGATCTAAGATATCATACAGTAATTTAACTACCTTATCCTTCAACTAAAAAGAGCTAACAAAGTAAAGCTTGTCACTGAAATAAAGAGACTTTTTTGTTATAAAGTCTATATAAAAATCGTCACCCTGCCTACTTAGAAGTACAAATTAATATGCATGATTTTCTGTCTTGGCTATTTATACCAATGAACTGCTTACAAGTTTTGCAAAGCTATTTATTGCGAATTTATGGCAAAACATACAATACAAAAATAGTATTTCTATAACTAGCATAATTGAATTTCCGTTTTCGTCAAGTTCCGCATTAGATAAAATTTTATCAACAAAGAATGTTGATGACGTCACATAAAAGAAATTTCGAAAATCAGAGACGTGTGTTCTAAATATCTTTACTATTTAATGATATGGAATAATTTGATATAAAATAAAGATTCTTCCTGACAAAAACGTATGTTAACAAAAAAGAATACAAATATTGAAAATGCTATTGAATTCTCAATAACTAGATATATCTTGTAAATAAATTAATATGCTCCAAGTTTCATTCAAAATCAAACACTTTTTTGTAATTATAAATCTTTGCTTAAACTAGTGAGGAATGTATATCTAGTTATGGTGTCTCACAAAACAAGACTCGGTCGGAGCCAGTTTACAAAATTAACATAACTTTGTGGAAGTATCATAATATAGATTTTGGTAATCACCATTTCGATCAAGCTATAAATACGCATTCTGTAGAGATTTATCGTCGTAACCGTAGTATCTGTTATGCATCTACTAAAAAAATATATGTGTTCATAAAGAGCATCTATTACTAAACAATATGAAATTTATTAGGTAAGTGAATCAGTACATAAAACATATGATTAATTATATACACTGAACAATATAGGTACCTGATAACAAAAGTCAACAGTCTAGATGTTATGTTCCGTAATTTTATTGAGGTATAATTATAATAGATACAACCAATTAAAAAAGATTTATATATTTATACGTACTATCAGTTATCTGTGATATAGATAGTTAAAATAAAGCATGTACACATATATAAACATAATAAACAAGTCGCTTAAATTTGTACTTTAAAAGTTGATGTTACCTATATATTTGTTAGTATGTACGATATAGTAAGAGTAACAGCGCCAAAGACTATTCTACTGTTAGGTATAAGACACTATACTCTCACTAATCGTTATTTGTAATTTTATAATATATACATATATTACATTACATAAAAACACTAAATTAAAAAAAAACTATTGTATTAATAATGAATGGAAATCACTATCTGCTTTTGTGCATTCGGAAATAGAAATAGAAATAATCTTTATTCAAATAAACTTAATATAAGCACTTTGGAATAGTCAAGTTTTTTGATTCTACCGCGTATTCGGAATGCAGATTCATCACATGAAGAATAAGCAAGAAACTTGTGTGTTGCTTTTTTAAATAAATATTGATTTACTTATATTTAATTAATTAACAAGGATTAGGTATGCAACAATCAACATAGAAACCGCTACGCACTTAATATCTGTTCAATCAAATAACATTGTAAGCGCTATGAATTTTAAGTTAGATATTTTCTGCAAAAACATGATTATCGTTTATAAATTCTTCAATTTTATAATAAGCTTTTTTCGGAGTAATACAACTAAGGGTTCTCCCGAAAACAAAATACGTACATTGTATTTTGTTCCATAAAAGGGAAGCCTAACGCAATTTTATATGACTAACGCGAGAAAAAAACCTTTAATCAAGAAATATATGCCAATATATCGCAGTTTGATTAATTGAAAATTTAATTAAATTGAAAAAAATCTTCGTATATACATATATAAAACGCTGAATAAATGTAGAAGAAAAAGTTCAAAGTGATCCTACAAGACAATAAATCTTAACGTGTGGTTTGCCAGTTTGAATTCATGTAGGTACCCAATAAAAGATCAAACACTATCGATTTCCGAAGTTAGATCTATTTCATCTGTAATATTACATTATTATTAATGCTATTTGAATATACTGTACATAGTAATGTTATAATACAGATTTACCTTAGACACTTTAAAAAATAAAACAGAATAAGACGTCTGAAATGAATAGAAATTTACTTCCTATTTCATACCAAAGTAGACAATCTAAAATGATATGAGTATGGGTACCTCTGTCTCACCTATTTCAGATGCCAAGAACCTATCTTGTACCTATATCTTGCAAGGTAAAAATTTCGGTTGTAGTAATAAGGCACTAAAATTCCTTAACTATGATGTTAAGGAATTTTAGTGCCTTATTCCAAACCCGTCGTTCCGAATCCGACGTCGTTCCCAATAGCAAAATATGAAAGGTAGCACATGTCATGTCCGTGGTAACGACGGTACATATACACATGTGTAAGTGACTGTTACCACTTACCGTCAGATGGACCGTCAGCGTGTACTTCATTTTAGTGACAGAAAAATTTCAATCTGCCGTAGTACTTCAAAGCGCCGACATTTTTTTCTATTTCCAATTTCCAACTCCACTTAAATAATCTTGGAATAAAATGTAAACTAAGCGATGTAGTGAATAAGAATTAGTTCGCTATACCATGACGAAAATATTCTCACTGGCATCCCATCATGGTATGAATGGGCAATTAGCTGCGATTCATTACCTAATTCTTTTTACTTTTCGTGTGAAAGTTTGTTGACAGTTTCAAATTAGCGATCTAGAGAACAATGCCATAAACGCATATGATGTCCATCACGTGTTTGGTAATTCAAAGCGTAAAGAAAACAGATACAAGACGTCTGAATCTACGGAACCAGCGAAGTTTTAATATTACTTCGCTCTATCCGAATGCTATTCTATTCTTGTAACTGCACATGAGGGTAGGCCCATACTTGCAGAGATTGTACCTATTATGGGTTCTTAAAATATTTATATACATTGTCTTAAATATTTCTTAAATATACAGATGTACATGTGTTTATATAGAAAATTGACGCCGCGACCATCGAAATTAAGGCAGTCTGTTAAACCACCAGATCACGATCTTCAAAATCAAAAAGCTAACGTAAAATATTAGTGACATTCTACGTTAGGAAAAGATACATTAAAAACGACCTTAGGCACAAACCAACAATTGGAAACGCATACCAAAGAAACAGCCTCTAAATGCGGAGACGCAGTTTAGTGAACGGAATTAGCATGATGAGACAACAGAAGTCGTACATTCATAGAAATCGACTGTGGGCGGAAGCGGTGAGAGCCGAATTGTCGAGCTGGGCTCATTATCAGACCTTAACACGTAACCAGTCCAAGGTTCTTTCATAACAAATAGATAAATATTTATAAACTTTAATAGTTACGCTTCTACAGTGAACATGGAGGTTTATAAAATTTAGAAGATAATAGAACAAAAGTTATACTACAAAAAAAAAGAAGTGAATACTACAAAACGAAAACTGAAATAACTGCTGGATAACAAATACTCTTCGAGAACATATTCATTACAATATTTGTTTCAAAGTTAAAGAAGAAATAAAAAACAGAGTATTATTTTAATAGAGTTTACTTTTAAATTCCGATTTTGCATATAAATATATATATGTAGCAAGTTATGCCATCGTATCATGTATATTTGAATTAAAATTAACTTCTTTTTTTTTCCTCAACAAATGTCTCCTATTTTGATCAGGGTTGAGTTACTGATATTATTTATAGGGCCAGTATACATCAATAACAATCGCGTGTAATGCAACAGGTCAGAAAATTGCATTACATACATTAAGACGTAACATTACAATGCGTATATTCTGCAATAAAAATATGAACATGCTTTCCATCAATAAAGTGCCAACAAAACGAAGATCTAATACAATGATATATCAAACACTATAAACAGTGGGCTTGCTTTCATTTGTATTCTTTGAAACGAAACTAATCACATTTTGTTTATACTTGTACTTTGAAGCGTGCTACCAATATAGAGTACTTACCACGAGGTAAAAGTGGCCTTTATCGTAGTACAGCGTAGCGTGATGCCGAGAGAGCACCCGGCATTCAAATATAGTATTCGTAGGGCTTGGAGTCGCGCGATAAACATTCCGGCCGATCTGAAATACAAAATAATAAGAACATATGACACACTTTATTGGAGACTTTTATTGTATTGGTACTAACTGCTTCCTGCAGCATTCTAATAGGTAGCATCCAGGTCGGATATTAATAATAATAATAATAATAATCTCAAGACAATTCACACAGCGCCATCTAGACCCAAGTTAAGCTAGCTAAAGCTTGTGTTATGGGTACTAGACAACTGATACAAATACATAGATATATATATTTTTTGTAAATATACACACATTATACATAGAAAACACCCAGACCGACAAAAACAATCATACTCATGAATACAAATGTTTGTGCCGTGCGAGGAATCGAACCCGAGACCATCGGACGTAAAGCGGTGTGCTAAACCACTAGACCACCGAGGCCGTCAAAATTAAAGAACAAGGATTAAAAAAGGCACAGAATTCGTCATCTGAATGTAGAATAAAATAATACTATCAAAAAAGAAGATAAAAATCCAAATATAAACAAGAATGGAAGAGTATCCTGCGTTATCTAAGATACAAAACAATCAAATCCACCCCGTCGTTATACCGAAATCGAGTAACATCTAAACATACAATATTTCACATTTCCAAAATTAGAATCAAAACTAAGGAACTTATTAAAGAGGCAATTTATTTAATGTGAATTTAATTCTAATCCGATGCTTTTAACGGTCAGGATAGATCTCGCATTGGAAGCATATTAATGAAATCAAGACTGGTCATTGAAATAGTTTATTATAAAAAATCTTCCTATTAACAACAAATAAAAAATAATAGATCTTAACAAATAAGAGAGCACGTACGATATTTTTATTATATTTTTCAGATGGTACCGTTGCATAATACCATTGTTGTCGAGTCAAATCACGTTTACATTACCTCGATAATTACTGTAACGCACGCACTCACTCGCTATTGACTCATTGGTTGTGAAGGCAATAGCTATTTTGCAAAACCATGTGGCAACGTGTATTGATGCTTGGAGCTAATTGTATACTTTTCGATTGCCACTTAATTTATTTCGACTAGAGCGTGAGATTTTATTCAATCACCAAAATATCTAAAATTAAAAGTAATTGCCGAATCTATGTAAATGCAATGCTTCAGCCAGCTGCATATAATTTCTTTTATTCTATGTTAATTAACAGGAATTAAATTTATTTTTAACGCAATTAAAAAATATCCCATTGTTTAATTGCGTTAAAAATTACGATATATTAATTTATTATTGACATAATTGACCCATAATTTTAATTTTTTATGAATAAAAATTTCATTTAATTTATTTTATGACTTAGTCGGGACTCTGTTTTAATAGCTTTCGCAATAGTACGCCCTTGCTTGGCCAGAGCAGGATGGTTAGTAAAAATAAATATCAGAGCTCAATACAGAAGAGATTATACATTTTATTAATCGAAATTTATAAATATATATATCCCTATTTTCCGAAATTTTAGCTTAATTTCATATTCACCTAAAAGGTACACTGGTCCAAATGCCACCTAATTCTAATTACCAAATAACATTTGTTCTTTTTCACGCCTAGCCTAACTAGCCTAATTTCCATCAGAAGAGTGAATTCTTCAATTATATCTTCGACTCGACTGCCGCCTATAAACACCCGCAACATGAAGAGATTTCAAATGAGCTGTAGATCATCTATGGAGGAATATGCTCTTTTCTTCAGGATTTAATTCAAGAAAAGAGCATATAGTCCTCCGAATGATCAAACGGACTTCCTCGGAATCATGTCTGATTGTTCTTGCGATGATTTCAAAAAACTGCGCTAGTTGAAACATAGTTTTGTATTTTCTATTGTATTAAACATACCTATTTTACCTTTTAATGATAACGAGGAATTTTCCATCTAATGCCAGACCTCAAATGAATTAGCGCGATAAAGGAATGGATGGATGAACAAACAAAGACGAACCGTAAGGGTCGTTTAAACTTATGATTTGGAAGTTTAAAAATGTAATAAATATTTTGTTTAGGTCTTTAAGGTTCATTTTATTATTACTAAGTACATTAACACCATAACAGATATTAGTTAGAAATGAACTTGTAACAAGTAGGTAGGTATATTCCTTAAAATATGTCTCGTAATGACTGACATTAACATTCCCCATCAATGGCTCTATTAAACGTTTGGCTATATGGGTCAGCGAAGTAGAGAACAAATATAATCAATGCTTGTAAATTATAAAGAACACAATATGGACATATTTCTAACTTGTAGTACTGTTTGAATTTCAAAACATGATTATTCGTTATTTTATCTAAATGAATACCATACACAAGAAAGTTATAATTTCTTTCACCATATCCATAGAAATAAGAAACGTTAATACATTTTCATATTTAAAACTATCTCATAAGATAGAATATTTCAATCTATCTTAATCAATATCTCATCTTATTAGATAGTTTATAAATATTAGAGAAAGTGACAATAGATTATTAAAATAGGTATGTAGGATTTTTTTTTTTTTCTTCTTAGTACACTCACTAAAAGATATATAGATTATGAAATTACTAACCAACACTCGGTTCAGGATTACCTTTGGCTGCATATTTCATATACTTTCATGGCTAAATAGGAACTACGCCTATTTTAATTTTCATGCGTCCCTTAAAACTAAAATCTTAAGCATTTTAACGACATTATAAAAACGCAAGATGTGAGTGAGTGAGATAAGTGTAGTGCAATATAAGAGTGATAAAATAACATTGAATCAAATAACGAGGCATGAAATAATACTCTATCAAATGTTAGAACAATTTGTCTAGTCATCTAGTTTGAATCTCGTATAACAACAATGTCAGCACTTTATATGACGGCTTCCTATTCAACCATAAAAACTGATAGGAACCCGCTTCCGGGGCTAGTACCTACGTGCAACAGATGAGTGAACAGAAATAGCATAAATTAATCTCATTAAATTTAATTGCCAGTGCACAATTGTGACCGTCTCAAGCACCTCGGGTCAGGCTGAGTCATGTACGCACCCTGATCTGACACTATAGTACTTGCATACATGAATTGCATACAAAGTATCGCGATACGAGTATTCGACGCAATTTCAACGCCAAGAAAAAATTGTACACTTTATCTAGACTCTTATTATAAATAGAAATAATCTTTATTCAAATACACTAATATAAATAAGCAGTTTTGAGTTGTCACAGAATATTTTTTTAATCTACCACTCATTAGGGAAGCACAATGATTACAAGAAAAACGAGGTGGAATCTTACAGTGCGTGTTGCTTTTTTAAAATAAACATTGTTCAGCATTACTTATTTAAGATTTATATGAATACAAACTGCCAAATAGCAAAACTGACAAAAGTAAAGAAATATAACAGCTTCTTGAGTAACAAAATAAATCAGTCATAGTTATCTGAGCAGACCAGTCGCTACAAACAGCACCAGTTCACGAGCATAACGAGTAAACGTATCTGAATCTTGTTTACCTTTTCAGGACTAAACGGCTAAACTGATAAAAAAATATGTGAAAATAGATTGTATTACAACGACGAACATATAGGCTCTTTTATCTATACATCTATCTGTCAGTCTGTTTGTTCCGGCTAATCTCTGAAATGGCTGGACCGATATTGACGGGACTTTTTTGGCAGGTAGCTGATGTAATAAGGAGTAACTTAGGCTACTTTTATTTTAGAAAAATAAAGTTTAGTTCCACGCGGTCGCGTGTATAGCTAGTCTTAAATAAACTTGACGGAGTTGCGGATAACTGACGACCGTGGCGATGTATCGGTTCAACATGTATGTACTTATGAGTATAACTTAGTAGGTACTAGATAGATTCTTACAAATCGCCTGCATGGGTACCTCAGTTTCACCTATTTCAGCTCACAAGCAGCTTTCTTTATAATCTGTGTTGTGGATATAAAGTTCAGATTACGCAATAAAATTACATGATAAGAAGCATGACATCTTTGTACTCTCACTTCTGGAATGGCAATCCATGAGTAGTCCAAGATATTAGTCCATTCCAATTACATAAATAAAAAATTGGTGGATATTTTCTATGTATTTGAAAAATGTATTAAAGTACCTCTATCAGAATAGGTGATGATCGTCATGGTGGCAGTGATACTAGGTGCATTATGATGATGAATAATTTGTTAGGAGGAATGTTCCTTACCACTTCATGAAAAAATCAAATTAAACAAATATAAATATATTACTTAATCAATGCATACAATACTTTTTAGTATTATTCACGCAAGGAACATCGTGGGATGAAGCTAATATATGATAATATCAATGTCATATCTATATTAAAGATCATTTAAAGATTATGTTAGATACATGTTCAATAACTACTAAGTTTTTTTATGGATATATTACGAAATGAGGAATGAGAAACACATATCTAAGAATTTAATAGAAACTTCACACTTGGTGTTTATGGCTATCCGCTATCCTATAAGTGACCATAAAGATACAAGAATTATCATTTCATTACTAGATTTAAGAATTAATAACATACCACATATAGTAAAAAAGTTGCGACTTAAGATTTTCTTAGGCGGTAAGTTTCAAATACTTATCTATTTATTTAGTAAAGCTAATAATCACACAAGGGATTGTTCATTAATCACGTGAGGCTTGGAAGAGGTAGGGGTAGTGTAGTAAGATATCACGTGTATTTATTTTTTCTGTTTTTATGGCAATCAAAAACAACGTGCAACCTAGGACATTTTTATCATAGTCCTTAATTTCAGAGTAAAATATAATTATAGTTTATACCTGTATTTAAAAAATATATTCAAAAAATTTTAAGATTATTTTCAGGCACTAAAAATACACGTGATGTTGGGGGTGTGGGGGGGTGTCCTAAATCTCACTACGTCTCACCAAGGGGGAGGGGGGAGGGGTTATGTAATGTTAAGCAACTAACTAAACAAGTAACACTTGTAATAAACACTTATAATGTTACAATGTTGCTTAGCAACCAAATTTGCCAACCAGAATACATCATCATACACATCAGAATGATAATCAAATTTGAACAACTTGACCGCTACACAATGTATGTCAGCAGTCTAACTAGAACATACCACCGATCGTCATTACAGATGCAGTAATCAAAAATAGGTACAGATGGAGTAAGTATATTGGGGAGTCTATTTCTACACATGGAAGCAATTGAGTGGGGAAGATAGCTGTGCTGAATCTCACAACTCCACCTTGCTGGGAGCCATAGTCTTTAGCTGTCTCTCCATTTTAGCTGGGGTATTTTTTATATTGGGGAGTTTGAGCTATTGTCAGGTGCTTGGACCTGTAGCACTGCCTCCTGCATAGATCTACTGTGCCTTTTTCAGAGTTTGCTTTCTAGATCCGTCCGTAGCATTGTGATGAATATAACAGTCCATTTACCCACATACATGTTTTAATCTACCAACTCTAAATGTATTATATTTTCATGTAAGTCAGCATGTATAGTGAAAAGATAAATATTTACAAATTTGTCAATACATTTTAATTATATTTCTGAAATTTAAGACAACACAAGAGTTTCTGTTCACTAATGTTTTATAGTGACAAGTCTCAAAGATAAATAAATATGTACAGGATGGTGTTGGTAGAACTAATCAATTTCTTGAATATATTCAAATTTCTATGGACATCCTATAGACACAATAAACAATTATTACAGTTTCTTAACTACGTTTTAGGGACACATATAATTCTTTATGTTAACATCTGTAGTTATATTATTATAAAAAAAAAACATATTATATGTTGTGACTCGAAAGGTTTAAGACATGGCAGTGTAGTTACAGGGTATGAATTTGTAATATGATACTTCCCAGTAATGGTAATATGTTTCACAATATATTTTGAAATATCTGTGATGCTGTTCATATATATATATGTGATGGGTAGCACTCTCCATCAGGTGAAATATTAGCTTGTTTACAATTCCAAATATGTAAACTATATTACTCTATTAATATTTTCTCATCGGTTATCATAAATTATTTGTAGAATGTATCTTTTGTCTATTGTATCAAAAATTTTTATGTCTCTGCCACAAAATACTAAAGTATTACAAAATATTATATTAACACACATGACTCTACCTAAACTACACACTAATATCTCAATGAAGTACATCCTCTTCAAAGTGTCATCCAATGATATCCCATGATATGTCACACGAAGATTACCATCAAAACAATATTGATAAGAATACATACAGTAAAATGTAATGTACAAATTCATACTCATTGTATCAACAAAAATGATCTCTTAAAATAATAATGTAAATTTTGCTTTTTTTTTGGATTCATAAAACAGACAATAATTCTTAATACAAAATATTTCTAAATTCAATTGCTAAGAAATTGTGCAAGTTTCATAAATATGAAAGTAATTGTCAGTTTCATATCATTGAACTAAATTAAATATAGCCTCAATGCATCAAATGAACCACAAATTATGATTTGTATGGATATATTCCATTATTTTTTCTGTATTGTTATTTTATATCATAAAAATCATAATTTATGATATGCTAGTTATGCAAACTTTAAAAGAAGGTTTTATAGACGAAGGTTATATAGTTATGTACACTACCAAAAAACAGGTTGCTTGGATTATTCTGGTTTAAAGTGTGATAAATTATATTGCAATTACTAGACACAGATACAACTTTTATACTCAGGAAAGCTGTGTAAAGTAGTACTCAGTAGTACTATGAGCACTACATGTGTATAAGTAATAGTTTACATATATATATATGTACACTACAAGCAGCTGTGCTGTCAACTTGTTTTGCTCTTTAATTACACATAAAACATAATTATTCACATACCTTTACTGGCTGTTCCAAAGTTACGCGTCTCTCTTCAAACGGTAACGAATTCGAATGTGGAATGAAAATTGCCCTGGGTACTCCCACATCTTGGTTATTAGGTGGCTCTGGTCCAGGGGTCCAGTTATAGTCCATGTTCTTGATTGTGTTGTTCATTTGTGGTTTGACCTTCTTACTCTTTGCTATCACCATCGCATACACTGCTCCAAGGAGTCAGTGCACATACCTCGTATAAGCAACAACCAGCGGCACATAGATGATCGAAACCAACTCTATTCACTCGTAGGTGAAAGGTGAACACAATTTACTGCCATCTTGAGGGGCAAACATTGTTATTAATTCTATATTCGGTTACACGTCTTAGATATCCCAACACTTATGCAAACGCAAACACCATTATTTATGAAACTTGATTCCTTTCGTCTACGTATCGTAGGTATCGACAATAGTAAAACATCAAAATTTGGAAGAAATATATCAAAACTTAATACCTAATATTTGTGGATTCGAGTAAACAAAATTATCAATTCAAAATTGCCCAAAATATATTGGATTAAATTATTTTTAGGGCGTTAATCGAAATTATGAACAGAGGAACTTACGAAATGGGCGAACGAATCGGACATTTGTTTTGTTGAGTAGGTATGTGTATGTCTCGTTGACTCGTCGTTCATCTGTTAAACAGGTGTTTTATCATGTACAATAAATAAATTTAGGTTTTCTTTTTTAGTTAAATAATAAGTTCCGCAACAACACATTCGTTTCCGATCACGGTTCATTTTGATATATTGTTTTTTATTTAATCATAACGATATTCCATCAACTGATCAAAGAAAGTAAAAATAACCTGAAATTTGTTTACTACACGAATTAAAAAAAAATACAATAACACTGATCATCCATTCAACATTGAACCTACTTCTGAATGTTCTATGATAGTCAACCAAGTTATGAACAGCCTTAGGCTCAAAAATATGCTTAAAAAGTTAATTATTAAATTGATCAGAATGCTTACAATTTATATCCTGTATGTCAGTATTTTGCACTATACAGCAGCAAAGTACTGTGACCTCATATCTTTTGAAAATGAAATTCATAGTTTAATTCAATTATCTCTGACTTACATGAAGTAAGAAATTTTATATTTATAATTTTTCAAGTAACTCTCTTACGACGCGCGTCGGCTCACTTTGATACTAAATTAATTTAATATTGGAAAATGTTATACATTCGCTGTTTACAATTTTAGATTGTAACTTACGCTGAATGTAATATGTATATTGCAGTAATAAAAAAGTCTATTGTTAACAATCTTTTCATATTTGCTACTGTTTCCTCATTCTTCCCTAAATAATAAGAATAAACTCTAATGATTGATAAATGCATATATAGAACTTATGTAAGATAGGTATGTATTGGTGATATAAAACATTAATGAAATGCATGTTACAAAAATAACAGCAACCGATTTTTGTGTAGATACTGTTATTTTATAGATATCGAGTGTTAAAATTGTCTTTATAAAACACCTTTTGTAGAGATGTGCAAAATATTACCGATTTTTATTACACAATACCGATAATAAGCTATGAAACTTTGATAAAGTTTATTAAAATAGTACCACATTCTTCTTGATATTCTTTTTACGGTCAAGTGGTTTGAAAAATTGTATTTGCTTTAAGTGCAGAATAGGTTTTGCCATCCTTTCATTTATTTGTGAGACCATAATAAAAGCTGAATAAAAAACGAAACTCGGTACTTTTCATTCATACGGTACACGTCGTAACTGTACATCCCGACGATTTTAATTGGTGAATTGATGATTGGAGCTGGCAACCAGAGTCACTGCAACGAAAACGGTTTCTGTCTCGAGTCTTGTGTGGATTGTGTATGCTTGTGTGTGATATTTATTTCAAACCTTAGTGCAGTTTTAAGTGTTTCTGTGTTTTGTAAGTATTTATTACAACCACAATCTTAATATATTTGTTTATTTAACAGTAACTTAGACATATTCTGTGTAATCCGCGATCTTTTATGTGTTCAATATGGCCGTTCATGGAGATTATTAAATTTCTTTTTTTTACTCACTGTAAGTTTGCATTAATATCAGTTCTATCAAGATTCCACGACTGTATAGAATATTGTAGCTTTTTTACAGTTTTATGCTTTTCGTTGATGTGGCAATTGACAGTAATCCGATTGGATTTGACATTTGATTCTGAGTCATTTTGCTGCAGTGTTCCCTTCTTTTTATTGTTTTTACGCATAACTTCCCAAACATACGAAATAGGTTTCTAGGGACTACAATTTCCTTATGGTGAAAATTATAGTAGTGTAATCAATGTTCTCATGAACAATGAATAAACTATGTTTAAACTAAACTCACCAAGATTCAGTATTGTTGATGATTGTAAAAATTTGTGATAATTTGGTAGGTAAGTCGTATTTTTAAATTAGTCACTAATTGTTTCCAGAAATCGAAACTAATTCTTTCAGTTAACAGTGATTACCACATATTTGTAGACAGATTTCCCATAAGTTGCCTATTTCATTAATACATCCAGTAGTAAAATAATTTCAGCTGAACTTGCATGTATTCTGTGACTTATTCCATAGTCTTATTTTTAACATATACTGGCTGTTCCTTGTGATCTTACTATATTTGAGATACAAGATAGCTTATTTCCATTCTCATAGAAAAGTTTATCTTAAAATAATTAAAATCTGTTTATTCACTCTTGGACTTGAAATTGGAACATTCGGCTAGTCGGACACTTTGTCAAATACAATATTAGATTGGATGTTTATTTATTTAACCCTCATGAAACAACAATAGTTATCTATCTAAATGTATTTCAATTAAATTTTTATCCTGTTGTATCAATAAGGTATTTCCGTTACTCAAATTTTATATTGTTTTACCAAAACTATTGAAAATATATGTAGCATAAGAACATTAATATTGAATATAGTGAATAAGTGTACTCTCAGTTTGCAACACCAAGATTTTTGATCATTGTTGTTGTTTAATCTGTAAAAGTATTATCACTATCCCTAAAATAATAAAAATACTCATAGGTTTCATTTCTTAAATTATTAATATTAAGTCTTAAATTATATTGAAAAACTGAAATCAAAATGTTGAAACAATATTGTGAATATATTTCTTATGTAAGACTTCTTTGTGCAAAGTTACCAAAATAAAGTTACCCTTGACACAGAAGCCTTATATAGTTTTATTAGTCAGCTTAAATTACATGCATATCATGCTTAAAATTAAGTGAAACCTAGCAGTTACAACATTTTAGTACCTACAATAAGTGTACTATATTGTGTATAGGTCAAATATATACTGAACTTGGAAGTTATGCACATCTGTTGAAATTCTGCATAAAATTTATAACATAGTAGCTATGCCTGCAGTATTACCCACATGAAATTTATACCCTTTGTATTATTCTGATATAAGCTATATTATTGTAGTTTCATTAAAATCTATTCCGTAGTTTTTACATGAAATAATAACAAACATTCATAGTTTTTGTCATTCACAAAATTCTGCATTTATAATGTTAGTGAGATTGTTAAGTAAATTAATTTAAAAAATTCTTTAATGTGTGCTGGGATATAGGTATCTGTGTTATTAATTATCTATAAATAAGACATATGTATAATATGTTCATGATTAGAAATACTATTTTTATAATGTAACTGGCAATCCCATTTCTAATCATGCAAATAATAATATCATAAAAAAAAATATGGCTACAATGATGTAGTATCATTATGATATATTATTCTATATATGATATATTCTATAATGATCATTGATATAATTGAATAATCATTATTCTATAAATATAATCATTGAGGGACCTATGACCAACATAGAATTTTTATTTACATTATTTTTTTACATAATTATCGAATAACAGTTATATGAATCAACATTCTAAGTGGATGGTTTGATAATTTAGAATAATATTTACTAAAGTGATTGTTTCTCTCTGGTTATGTTGGCATTAAACCTCATAAGTAGTAGCACCAAGGGTGATCAGTATAGAATTAGTGTTCTATACTTGGTTTAAACTTTGTATATAATTTGTATTTTATAATTATGATTACAGAATACATTATCTACCATTCCTGTAAACTTTTTTTTTTTCTACATTGTAGAGTATTCATTTTATTTATTTCCGGCAACTAGGCACATATTATAAATACCTTATAGACTAACATACATATGAATTAATATTATAAAAGTAATGTATTGATATTGTTTTTGAGGCCACGGCACTGACAACGGCAATCTGCCTCCTTCTGCATGAAGGTGGACTAATTAATATTAATGTTTAAAGCCTCTAGCTGCTTTATAGAACTGAACAGTAAACTCACCCCTAAGCCGGTAATGAAATCACCATTTAAAACTGTATAGCAATAATTATAATACAATGCATATATCATAATTGCACATATTTGTACTATAAGTACAATAACAACTTACTCATTTCAATATTATAGAAAACTTCAAGATTTGGCATATTCATGAAATATAAAATAAAAGATATCATTATAATGCTAGTGCAATGAATTTTTATTACAAATTAATTACAATGGAGTGAAATTTAAAAACGATGGTCCACATATAGTTTAAATATGTACTATGGTTTGTTCAGGACAATGTGTAATCTACAGCGGCTGTCACAGTGGACCGGCGGTGCACATGTTATCATAGTGTCTGTTTGTTGTGCAGGTGTGATAATGGCCACGGTGCTCCCGCCGTCGCCCGCGTGAACAAGTAAGACTCTAGTGCAGTGAACCTCCCGGGCCCGCCGCCTCAAGCGCCACCCGACCACAATGAAAATGGTGTTGTCCCAACGGCAACGAGAGGAGCTGTGAGTATATATATTTTAATATATCTAACTAGTGGTTAACTTTGTTTTATCCATGTGCTAATAACTTTGTCCGTTTTGGATATTTAGGGGAATAATATATTTTTAAACTGAGAAAGAATTTCTTAAGTCAGTGCAATGGTTCCGGAGTTTACATTCCTCGTAATAAAATTAGCTTTCTCTCTTTATATTATTAGTAGATATAGACAATAGAAATAAAATTAATAGTTTAGAAATAGTTTTTATAGAAACTTAATATAAGCACGTTAAAATAGTTTTTTATATTATACGGCAATATATTGATGATTACTTAATTGCTATTTTTAAAAAAAGATATAGGGTTAAAGCAATTTTATAAACTTATATAAATAATATAGATATGAATAATTAATTATTTCGATTTTTGGATAATCAATTTCTATGTTATTGTGACATGTTCTGGCATTAATATATCTCGTACAGAATCGCATGCCTAGCGATAATTGTTATTTAATGTAGACAGAAAGTAGAATCATGTTTATCAAAAATATTGCAACCGACTAATCTTGTAATTTTATACCCAAAACATTGATTAGGGAAATATAACGTAAGACCAGCAGCGGCTACTAAAATTATCGTAATTAAAATTAGAAAGCTGTAGAACTTGGCCAGTATATCTATCTGTATATAAGACAAGTGTGCACCTAATTGAATTGTAATTCCTACGATAGCAGGTGTTGCTGTGTCCTTGCTTACTTATACATTAGTTTTGTTTTATCTAGGTTATTGAATGAACAATTATAATTTAATGGTATATTACTAGAGTTCTCTAATACCGAGATGCCGTTCTCTGTGGTAGTAAAAATTATGATTTCTTTTTCTATAATTCTAGTGTTTTGAACCGTGCGGTCCACGATTTAGTATGCCACCTTCAGGTACGTAAACTTTACAGGGTGCCTCGTAAAAAAGTACATTTTGACCTACAGTACGAGAACATGTACGTTCTCTTACACAATTGTACGAGATTTACTAATACTCTCATAAACAGTAGTAGATACTCATTCAGTAGTATATATAGTATTCACATAATCAGTCTAAATACGAGAAAGATATAAACTGAGCTAATGTACGCGATTTTTTCAAATTTTTATTCCTTTGTACGAATATGAGTGATGAGTCTGACTGACGACGACGATTGCTATTGATGGCTTGTCAGGGACTATACTACCGTTGTGATAAAAATAATTGAAGTCCTATAATTTCTGTCTATTTGCAGCAAATCATGTTCCACTATTTGAACATAACATTTATTTGCCTTGCAAATCAATATCGTAAATAATGTCTCCTGTCTGTTTGTGAATGTCAATTTGGAAACAATCCTTTCAAATGCACTGTGTTTATAAACAAATAATCCTTTACAATACAGTAAAATGCATGTTTGATATTAAGATAGAAGGAGTAAGTTTGTACATTTGGAAAATGTCCCTTTGGTAAATTTGAATTCGTTTCAATGTAATATATTTCAGTAACTGATAAAAACTGACTAGTGAAAGTTGGTCGATTTAAAAGTGTATTTAAATTTTAAAACAATAATCTCGCAAGTCTATTTTGTTTCTGTTGAGTTTCAATGAATTCGGTCAAGCAAATACTTGCTGAGGCAACAAGGTCGCGGCTATAACGCAATATTACTTACCTATATTTTGCTACTGTTCGCCAAATTTAACATTCTGGGGCGCAGGTTTAATGAAATATAAGTTAATTCGATATTTATTATTTTTATATCAAATACAAAAGAGATTGTTTTTTTGTATAACGTGATAATTCTCATCATCATTTTTGTATTGGCGATTGACGATTCATAATGTTGAAATGGTTTACTTTCGTGTTTAGTAAACAAAATGATTTTTAAAATTTTGTCTTCATTAAATAACATAAGAATACTGATAACAAACAAGCTGAAGATAAAACAGTTTGTTAAAATTACGCACAGTGTTTAACCGAAATGATTCCTTTTGGAAACAAAGTCTCTAAATTTATCAACACACTATACCTGCCTCTGATGCTTCTAATCTTCAGCTAGAGCTGGAGCTTAGCTGGTATGTGTTCATTATAATTCTTTTGTTGTACTATTCAATCTGAAATATATTAAAACACGCATAGCTGTTTAACAACATAGATGCAAAATTAAACTAAGTAAAAACATGTTTAAGAAATGTTATTTTTTATTAATATATGTGAAATGAAAGTAACACTATCAATGTTTAATATATTGCGCCGTGTTGTAACATCCTAATGATATTAGAATTCAAAATTAATATTATCTTAGTCCTCAAAAACTAGAGAGTTAATCATTAAAGATTACCTAAGTTAGATGTATCAAGTTGTTTGTGTAATCACATATTAATGGATTATTTCTTCCGCATGAAACTGATCGTGTTGTGACTGTTAATTTGTATTCCTTTTTTATGAAAGTTTGAAATTAACTAGATTATAGATATAGGTGTCTACATATTACCAATATTATCTCATACATTAATTTCTTAAAATACATGATATCTTTAACACAATTAAACAATTAAAATTCATTACATGATTTAAAAGCAAAGCGGACTGCGTCTGTTTATTTTATATAATCTTCATAGACATGTATACAAAAGACAGGATAAGTTAAACAGGTGTTTTTTCTATAAAACACCTGTTTAACTTATTATTTAATATAATAGAAATCGACGAATGATCTATAGATCATTCGTCGATTTCTATTTTCTAGAAGCGTGTTTGACTGTTTTCAGTAGATATTATTTTACATAACATTCGCAATACCATTCTATTAGGAATAGTTTGAAGAATAGTAAAACAGTAATAAGGTGAACTTGATACATTTTTTTTAACATGTCATTTAGATGAACATTTGTTAGAGAGTAAAACAGTCTGTTTATTGTTATCAAGACGTAACCCCCACAACATTGATGTTGTTAGCAATTTTTTTTTAATTGAAATATTCATTTTTATAAAAATGGGAAAGAACATATACTAGATAATTAATATATTAATTCTGTTGTATTTTGCAAACTTAGTTAATGACAGTACATAAAAACGTGTACAATGGATTCCTCCAGTTGAGCAGTGGCTGTTCTTAGTGGGGAAGCCGCGGGTGACCTGCGTGCCGCTCGACCTTTGAAAGTAACAGTGTTCTTCACAGTCGGTTCATTGACCCCGCCTGCGGTGCCTTCCGCTTGGCTTCTGGCTTCTTGCTATGCATAGCTTTCTTCGTAGATTATCAAATTCCACATTTATTTCTAAATTGATTGATAACTGTACAAGAACTTGTCTGTGATCTGTGAACAAATGAGGCCTTCAGAATAATCGTTACTACATTGATTCTGTTATTGTGTACTATTTCATAATTTGATAATTTACACGTTACTGCAGAGCAATTACAGTGCAGTACGGAACTATATATACTATAATATGTTCGTATTATCCTAATAGAGCAAGATGGAATATAGTTTAAAATATTTAAAGAATGCATCAAACGCGTCTATAATAGCTATTGGTCCATACTTATCTAACACAATTTTGTAACAATGTCAAACTTATAATATTTGTTATGAATATAATCTTAATCCTATTGTTCTGTGTCAGTTGCGAACTCGTGGCCTAAATGCCTTATCGCATTCCTATTTACCTTACCCTTTGAGCTCGGCTCGCTCAAGTGAAAGGAAACACGACCTGCAAACTAAAGATGTGGCCAATCTGTTCACACGCTATTGTTATTAATGAATAACGTGTACGAGGTGCAACCTACCTGTCCATATAAAGTTCGTTGGACGTTATGTAAGCTTATTAGACAAATGCGATTACATTCTTAACGATATTACGTTAAAAAGTGCCACAGGTGAATGACAGAAATATCCTATTGGCTAAACATATCAATATCTTACGTCACACATGTCGAGTCGTGTGGAACCGGACTGTCAAACGGACGTGTTACTGTTACTTTATGATGTCTTCCCGAGTATATCAATAGGAGATCTCGATATCATGGAACTATTCCGCGTTCCGTTCGAATATCATTGCTTTGAGAATTGAGGTCGTTGAACGCGCCTCTTGATTAAAAATAACGATGACAAGTAAATTAAAAGCAGCAGGTTCGCTAAATGGATGCGATCCACCAGGGTCTCAAGTAATATGAATGCCTTGAAGTGGTTGGTTTGGTGGATATTGAAATTCAATTAAATTACAATGCAAAATGTTCTATTCAGGTTGCGAACACTGATTAGATTTTTTTATTTTTTTTTATATAACTTATGCTGGTGGTTAATAATGGGATAAAGGCAAGGCAATGATGATGAACTTATGCTGGTGGTCACTCTATTCCCCCAAATTTGAATTTAAATGAAATAGTTTTATTGTAAATATGTAAAACATTAAAAAAAATACGAGCTGAGTTTCTTGTCAGTTCATCTCATCTCGAAATCATTCCGAACTGACGGTAGATTTGACACATCATAAGAGTCTGTAATATACCTACATGAATAAAGATTAAAAAAAAAATCGAAACATTCTGTGTAGATAAGAGCGTAGATGGATATGTCTGTGCGTAATGTGTATATAGTTCAGTATATCATTATGAACTTAAGTTTTAATTATTTAATTGTGTATAAAATTGATATTATTTATCAGTAACAAAGATACATATTGTATATGTTGTTTACCGAGTAAAAAGGAGTAAGTTTTCATTAGGTGGGTGGGTACTCTATTTGCTACGCGATCTCTCCGCATATACATATTTTATTTCGATTGGAATATTTTTATTCTAATATGGAGTAATAATATTAAATGAACTTCATTATCTTTAATTTACCTTAAACCTTTCTCTCACATACATTATCATCTCATATGCTTTCAATAATTCGATATCAAAGTATTTGACACAAATCTGGAATAGTCTCTGACTCGGAGTTATCTTTTAGATCCGATCCGAATTTTTTATACGAAATATTTTACTGTAATAGAAGAGT